AGCCCACAATTTCTTGTATTTTTTATTATTTGGAAGAAATGGTATCCATTTTCTTTACATTCTGGCACTGCACACTTTCTTTAAATTTTATAAAATTCGGAAAGTTAATTAGTCTATTTCTTTTGTACTTACGAGATTTACATTCAGTCATCTTAATTCTTGTTATCAAGATAAACTTGTGAATCATAGTGATAGCGATGCGTAGCGGGAGAAAATGGTAAAATCTTCTCCATCGATGAGAGCGGCATATTATAACACAATCCCAAGATCCGCATTTTCGCAAACGGTATATAATACATATGTATATAGTGTGACTTTCTCGAATTAGAGTATCTCGGCGAGCAAGAATAGCAATTCTTTAGCAGATCGAGAGTAATTAAAATTTTCATAGCTATTTAAATTAATTTTTATTTATTCCAAAAAGCACGGAATTCAATAACCAACTGGTGCGATCGTTTCTAGCAACTTTCATCGTCTCATAAAACTGCTGCTGTGACATTTAGTCGGCGCTTCGCTTTAATTTCCAGTAGTGTTTTAATTCACGCTAAATTTCCATAATATGTTGTGTCAGTTGTAATTTCTTTTAAGATCCACTTTTTGTGCACACGCTAAGATACCCATTGATTCGTTTCGCTAGCAAATATACCATTAGAAATCTGTTCATTTCTCTAGACTTCCTTACATTTTGTTTTTGTTTACCGAAAATATTTCATCGTCTCTTTTTGTAATAAGTACGTTATGGATAAATATTATATAAAATAAACACTGAAGGCTAATGCGAAAGCGTAAGAAATATTTGTATTCGATTCATGACTGAGCATAAAATACAATTACCTTTAATTTTTATGCAACTTGGTCTGTTTCATAACAACTGCATTAATCTTGAATTTAAAAAGTTAAAGCAATGAGGCCACAAAATGATTTTAATAATTATTTCATATATTTTAATATTGTACATTGCACTTTATTTCCAAGGGCGTTTGAAAAAGTATTTCCAGGATGTCCGAGCTTAAATTTTATAAATGAAACATCAGTGGAGGTGTGTGTCCAAACAGTCTTAGGACTAATGATTTTATGATGATGACGCAATTGGGTTGAGATACGATATCGAAAATCAGTGTGAAAACACTTTTATTATAAAGATTAGTAACTAAATAAAAATAATATAAAAATACAACTATGCCATTCAAAAAAAATATTTTTCCGTTATTTCTTCGATAGAAATTCTCTAGCCGCTCGGAATGACCTNAGGAATATAATGGATATACAGGTTTTCAACAAACCTCGCATAAGAAATTGAGAACTCCTTCGCATTTTTTTCCCTAATATTTATCAACAGGACTATTCAAGCAATTTAAGGGGTGAAAGATGTTTTATTCAGTATCAGACTGACATTTCGCTTTATGATTTTAACTCTTATACAGGTAAAATATAAATTATCTTTGACTTAAACTAAATAACGATAAATAAGTATAAAACACAAACTATTAGGTAGGAGCCACGAGTCACTGAGGTAGATTACTCATCCTTGACTTCCGGGAAGAAGCAATCCGTTGTATAGAGATCCAAAGGGAGATTTCGGTACAGGGTTGCAATCGTCAACCAAACGCCAATCTGTAATGTACCCGACAATTCCCGAAACATATGAACCAATTTGATTATCTCTTCATCCTGGTTTCACGCCCGCTTCGCGGACCACATTTATTCTCTCCCACGGACTCCACCTCATCCCACCTTTCCTCATGTAGCTTTTCTCTTTATAGGACTCCATATAGTGTTTGCTACTTGACCCCATTATCGGATACCCGGCAGTATCCTAAAAAAAGTGCCGGATCCGCCGAGTACCTGATCCAAACCGGATATCCAGTCCATCTCTATTAAAAATGTATTAACTGAATACTTGAAAGAAATGCTCCGCAGAGTAAATATTCATTGAGCTCTTAGTTCACTTGTTTTCAAATTATTTCCATTCTTTTCATGCCTTTTCCTTATTTTCCAAAGATATTTCGAACAAATACGAAACGTTTGCCTACATTAAGGTGAAATCTTACATCTAAATCTTTTTTGTAACTACTTTTATAATTGTCACATGATAAATAAATTTTGTCTTACTTTTTGAACGAGATGAAAATTTTGTTACCTCCATTATTTATAAAGTTTGACCTAAATATGAATTAATTAAACAAATTCAAACTCGCACTGTTGGATTCACATATTCACTGACAATTAGTGTAGTTTTTTATTTTTGTCGTAAAGGCCAGGGAATGTATCAGAAACCAATGCCTTATGGCTCGCTGATGTTCTCAATCGTCCGGGTTCCCTTATACTTGTTTTAGGTTAGAGAGCTTCCGGCCGGGGAATACAGTCGTATAAAGTCCGGTTTTTAAAATATCCCGCGCTACATACTCACGTTAGAACCCTGAACATTTTTGCTAAATTACTAAAAGTATTTGAAGCTATTAAATAACCAATAACGAGCTTATGGTTGAGTATGTATTGCAACAGAAGGTTAATAGAAATCATGGAAAAAAAATCGCATTTTTTTTAAAGTCAGAGTGTAATTCTAACTAATGATATTCGCTATTCATGATTTAACACGTTGGCGATGTCGTGATCCACCGGTGGGTAATGCTGGCCACTATCAATGATCGTAAGTGTCCACGGCTGGGTCACAGACTATTTTTGTTTAAACGCTTTCTGAAAATCTGTGATTGCTGTTGGGAGGTTTTATTTTGTTCGTACGACTATATAACAAGTAAAAGTTGAAAGGTGTAAAGTAGTTTTTCGATTGGGTCGCAATTAGTATATATGTTACCGGAAATGTATGAAATCCATCATTATATACAATTCCTAGGAATATATATAATTCCTAAAATCACCTGGAAATGTGTGAAATAAATTATATTAGGCACATTTCCTAGGAAATCTATGTATTTTTTAAATAGAAATCGGAAATTTATTACAGGTAATACTAAATAGGCAACAATACTAATCAGACATTTTGTATACAACGTATAAAAGGTTCAAATTATTCTCTGTTCAAAAAACTTGCATACTGATGATAATAGACATAGATTCTTGTTGAATGTGAAGGGATTTTAAGATTGTTGTATCTTGGAATGTACTGACGGTGATTGTGAGACTATTTTTAAGTTCTTTTTACTTCTTTCTGACATTTTTTGTGACGAACTACCTGAAATTAAATTATCTGACTAAAAATTATGTATTGTCTCCCGAATAGTATACAGACCTTTATATGCCCATCGGTGGGCCACAACGTTTCCTACAGTTATTATTATGGTGACACATCGGTGGCATACCTACACTGAAAATCATTTAAAAGAGAAAAAAGACATTTATTATAACATAACTTTAATAACATCAAAAAACAGATAATAAAGTATATAAAGAAGAAACAAAAATTTCGTACATTATGGTATTTTCTGAATTCATTGACGTGGCAAATGAATTAATGAGTTTTTGTTGTTTCGACTCCCACAAAATTGCATCACAGTAGGCTCGATAACCAATTAAAAACCAGCATCTTGGCTTTCTATGATTATATTATCAAATTGTCATGTTATTGTAAAAACGTGTGCCGATTACTATGCTTAATTTAAGTGCGTTGAGGAAGTAGACCTCTACAAGTCCAAACGCGATTGCTGGAAAGAAGTAAGAACGCGTGACCAGACTTTTTATTTAGAAAGGATTCAACAACAATAGTACTCCTCGGCATAATTAGTAAACTGAGTTTGTAAACCGGTCTCTTCCGTGATAAACATCTAATTTTATAAATGATTGTTTTTAAAAGTAGAGCGGACGCTTTCAGTTGGAGTTGAAACCTGAAATTCTGCCTTTGTATTTACTAATGATATATGCAACAGAAACAATCAAAACTGAAAAACACTAATCCTTCTGTAAATACGAAGCATAATATATTCATATTACATTTATGTGAATATCAATTTAATATAAATATTGGGGAATAATTAATATAAAGCTGAATAAAATTATGTATGTACCTAATGTGCAGGGTAGTCCGTATACCAAATTAAAAGTATGCATTGAACCGAACGGCATGGTCTAGACTCTAGAGGTTTAGACCATTGCTTAGCATTCGGGAGGACGCCGGTTCGATTCCGGATCCATCTGCTTTGGTCCAAGTTTTTCTGTGGTTTTCTTGGATCATTTAGGTAAACGCTGGAACAGTAATACCCCACAGATAATCTTTCATTCTCTTCTGTCTTTATTCCGTCCGTCTCATCTTTCTCACCCAAACCACCAGCCACCCATTCCCACGAACCCTGAAAGGTTGAGGGCCTTCCGTCCTATCATCCGGCGTAGTCCGGAGGGACTGCCCTCCACCAGCATTAGTGGCTGGTGGGAATGAGGCACCCAAAAGTTTTTAAGTTTTTGTCTGCATTGAATGTTCGTTGAAGAAAGAGTGCGGGGCGACTGACCTCATAGCTCACGCGTACGTGACGAAAACACGTGCCATAGGAATACGTGTATTTTCGTGAAATCATTCTTTGAAAAAGTTTGAGTCCTTGTAGAATCCCTATAACACATACAATAGTTGTGGGTGGTAACAAATGAAAAGTACATGTATCTGTATGGACAGATTATCCAAAAACAATGAATAATTTTATCATGTCGGAGCGGAATGACATAATATGTAGCTAATACCAAAACGATTTGTGTGGATCAAAAAATTATTGATATTTTCAGTTATAATAATAGACACAAATATATAAAAATCAGTTATTTCAAATACTAAGTTCACTCTTTTTATGAATCATAATGTTCAAGTACGTTTCCTATTACTACAAAATTATGAAGTTATAGCAACTATTTATTTTGATTGTAGGTTCTGGTTTTTGTAATATCCATTCGACAAAGTGTGGCAGTGAAAAAATCTTCCGAATCTTTGGCTAAAGAATCTTCCACCAATACCAGCAACAGTATAAAGGAGAACGGAAAGGATGGAAAAAAATTACCCGGTCCAGCAATTCTTGCAATTGAAATTGTTGACCCTAACGAAGAGGATACGGCTGAAGTGAAACGGGAGGAAAAAACAAAAAGAACAATAGAATCGTCCTTGGGTTATGGTCGTTCTGGAGGAGTTCCTAAGTCTCCCAAATTTATGTACTATAAATATTCGCAACACGATATCCCTTCACCTAGTAGCCATTCGAAGAGGAGCCAGAAAATTAAGAAAGGTTCGCCATCATCACAAGAAATCGACTCTGGTTTGCCATTAAATATTCAAAAGTCAATCGAATATAATTTAGGTAATTGCTATCAAGATTAAAGCTAAAAGGAACATTAGGCAAATAAATTTTCTTTGATATTCAGCGGTGATGAAAAAACAAGAATAGTATTAGGATAATACAATGATGGGGTTTTGTTCTCTAACTGTATAACGTAATAAAAATTACTTCTTTGTTTCTATTGATCCTTTTTTGGACTTCCGATTCAATAAATAAGCTATGTATAATAAAATATGGAGGTAGGTTAATTGCAGATAAGAATGTACCCACAAATTCGTAATCAGTTATTTGCATTTATAAAAGTGTAAACTTTTATACTACTGGGTTGGTATCTGTGTGTAGAAAACGATAGCGTTGCCACTTTGTTTGTCATTTGGTATTTGTATTGTTTCATATTAGTCCAGTCGGTAGAGAAGTTTCCCGACCTCAATTTGTTACTGGACGGGAGTGGTTCCTTGTTGTAGCCGGGGAAAAGTTAGGCATTCCAGTATATATTTAAATTTCGTATAAGTGTGCGTTAACAAATGAGGGAGGTCCAAAATTGGCAAAAACTTTGGACCTCCCCCATTTATTAACGCACACTTTTTTAAACATTAAAAATATATAGAAATGCTTAACTTTTCCCCGGTTACAACAAGGAAGCACTCCCGTCCGATAACCAATTTATGTCGAGAAAATTCTCTACCGACTGGACTATATAGTCGATTTCGTGTTTCTTGATTATTTAACTTTAAATTATCTGTAGAAAGTAAAGTCAAAAGGCTCTTTATCTAAGAACTAGTACGAATGTAATTGATCATTTAATACGTGATTGTCTTTTATTTTCAAAAAGTAAAATCCTAAAATTACTATCAAAGCTGATTATTCAGTATCAAATGCTCTACGCAAATCTAATTTTTAGAACCGGTTTATGTTCTTTTATTCTATCTGAAAAGAATCTAATTGTTTGGCCGATATACGTTTTGTTACAAATGTAGTAACGTAATTTATAAATTTCTGATTTGAATTTCTCTTAGTAATATATTTATTTTATCGTTTATAGTTTATTAAATAATTAAAAGAAACTGACGAATTAGTAAAAATTTTAATTTGCTTATCTATTTTCCTGCGATGATTTAATGTAAGTACTATTAAGTAAAGTTCTGGAAATATTTCCCATATTTTTGTACAGTTTTAATTTGAATTTTGACTATTTTCGGTACTGGAATAGTTTTCAGGTTCTTATTAACCATGACAATACATATATTTACATAGTAGTTGTACTGATTTTATTTTACTTATAATCAGAAAGCTTTTAGATTTCCTTATCAACACTTAGATTTTATTTTACTTTTAATCAGAAAGCTTTTATACTTCCTTATCAACACTTACCTATGTAATCTGTAGGTACCCAAGTATCCGTCGTTCCATCAAAATCATCAGGATATTCCACTTCTCCTACTGAAAACAGCGCCGCGGCATCTTCAGGACACCCGTCTGGGACAACATTATTCACTACTGTTAACTCCCAGGGGCAATTAGGAACCCTCTCTCCTCACTTAACTTATCAAAATCTAGGAGCTAATGGACCAGTCGTGCCTGTAATTATATTAAGGATATACACCAATCAATTGGCAAGTCCAAATGAAGCTGTGTATCCAAACCTTCCCGACTCAGATCCTTACGCTGGATTAAACAATGTCAATATCATGGAAATTGTTCAGAAGTATTTACGACAAATTTATCAAAACCCACATGGCGTCAATGAAGCTTCAGTAAACCTGCATGGAGCCAGGAGTATGCCTAGTTCATCTGCTACATATTTGCCCCCCGAACAACCACAACCTGATCCTTACCAATATCAACAACAACAGTATTTACAACCACAGTATGATGTCAGTCAGCTTCAACAGCTTCAACAACAATATCAGCACCCTATGTATTACGCTGATCCAGCAGTAAGTTAATAAAATCGATGTTTCAATTGAATCTTTTCAATTGTAAGGTTTGTAGAATGTTTCTCATTTCGGGAATATGCTAGGGATCTCTCATCCTTGTAGTATTGTCATTCAAATCAATAATACGACAAGTATATTAAATTTATTTGAAATCATTTCCCTGATTATATGCATATCATATCATATACATACAATAACGTTTTGGTAAATATGTTAAAGTTCATATAATTCAGGAGTTTAATAAAATGCGATGCTAACTTTTAAATTTGTAAAATAATTTCTAGGAAATTTTTAAAATTTCTAGGATTTTTTCTGAAATTTCCATTAATTAAATTCACGTAACGAAACCTAAACCAGCCCAGAGCGGATCGTAACTAGACGCAATGCATCGATATTATTCATTCATCGAATATTTATCCTTTATTTACATTTAGTTGTGATCTAATGAAAGGCCTAGAAATCTTTGACCGTCCACCCCGATAGATTGTCAGATTTGGCGCTCGACGATTTTTTTTTCATGAAATAGATCTCACATAAATGTTCCAAGCAGTATAATCGATACTAAAATTATATTTTGTTAAATATATTACCATTGTTGTATAATTAACAGAAGGAAATCATTTCTATCCTCGCAAATAGTTAATTTAGAAATTCTATATTGTCAAAATATGTTTGGTGTACGGATCTATACGGGTGGACGACGGAAAATAAATAGCTACAAACGTTTGAGAAGTTATTGGCAAATACTGAAAACACCATCGATACCTTAGGAATGATGAAGTGTTAGAATGAATGGGAGAACAACGGGCGTTATATAAGTCAATAAAAAAATATGAGATAGGATAGTAGAACTCCTTCTGAAACTTAAAGGATTATTCAGAGACACATTAGAAGAAAGAACAAAGATGAAGAGTTACTGTTCGTAAATAGTAAGGGATGGGGGATGTTCTAGTTTTCAGGAAATGCGAAGATTGACATCGGATAGCATAGGAAAGAGTCAACTAGTCTTCGGATTGACGACCCTATGATGACGATTAAAAACTTTTCACTAATTAAAGATATTTTCAACATTATTTTAGTAACTTTCGAAAGTTAGTTTTCCTTGAATATCTTTTGTGTGCTTTTCAGCTCCAAATGATGATGACTCCGCAATATATTCAACCGGACTATAGTCAAGCGTACTCCCAATTCCCGTATCAACCCCAACCTACATATCAGCAGGTTCAATATTCTCAACCGGATTATAGTAACAAATACTACCAACCACAGCAACAGTATCATACAAACGGACAACAATATACTACAAGTGGGCAACAATATACTACAGACGGACAGCAGTATTATCTTCCACCTCAAAGTTCTCAAAAATATGCGTCAGCTGTTTTACCAACTGAGGAAAACTATCCCAGCAAAGACCACACAAGAGTCATATTCCATTCAAACACTAGTCCTGAGTCAGAAAAGAGCGCAAGTGTTGGTGGTACAACTGATGTGGCTAACTCTGCTGCAGTGGCTAAATCTCCACTATTAACTGGAACATCTGACACTAGCCCTGTAACATTTTCAAGTCCTACAGCTAGTTCAAAAACAAAGACATCCTCGAAAACACCTACATCTATTGTAGATTATAACTATGATGGGACAAAGTCATCTCATCAGCCTTCAAATGAAGCGCTTCAAGAGTATCAAAGTTATTCTTATAATCCACAAGCTTACGTACAACCAAGTTCTGACTACAGTCGTCAGTCATATCAGCCAAATTCTTTCAAAACTGAAGAGTACAAAACATTTGTATCTAAAGCTTATCCTACCCCAGAATATGCCAGTGCAAGTTATCAGGCATCTAGATTAAGGAATTATCACTCCACGCATTCATCTGGTTATCAACCCTCTGCCACTTATCAAACCAATAATTACCAACCGTCAGCCACTTACCGATCCAAAAGTTATCAACCGTCAGCCACTTATCAGTCTAAAAACTATCAACCGACATCCTACACGGCAAAAGAATATCAGCGTCCTACGTATAGTGCCCAAATTTATCCTCAATCTGCGAGTAATGCTGACGAATTTCAACCAGTAGTTTATTCCTCAAATGGTCAACAAGGGGTAGCGTACACTTCAGCTTCTCATCAGTCGCCTTCCTCCAAAAGTAAGGAATATCAGCCTAGTTCTTACAGTGCTCAAAATGGCGCAGAGTACACGTATGATCCGAAATATTATCAGCAAGCTTTAGAGCAGTACCAAAATCAATATTCTTCACAAGTTGTTAATCCAGAAGTGAGTAAGCATTCTGATGTAGAACCTGACACTAGAGAGGCGTCCTACACTTACCAAGCAAAGTCAGAGGCAACCGACCAAAATAAAGATGATAATACTCCTAATGGAAGTAGCAGAACGAACTACTACAGCAGTTCTGGACCTTCGACAAAGTCTAAATACATAAAAAGTAAACAAGGATAACGATAACATAGTGAGGTGAAAATGAACTCGCGAGTGTAAAAAACTTCTGTACCTGGTTTTCACTTTACTTATGTGCGTTAAAAATCAAAAAAGGTTTTTCGTTTCATCCTACAATTATTTAACATTGCCTTTCTGTCTTAACTTTGTCGTTATCGTTTAATTAGTAATATCTACAAGTTTTTTTTTATATAAAGAGAAGGTTGATGTAGACAATTACCACGACCAATACTGTTAGTATATAAAATGGATTGAAAAGGATAATCATTAATAACATAGTACTGATAATATAAAATTAATTCCAACTTACCAAAATAAAACTAATAATTGATAAAAAATATTTACAGTCGTTTCTGTTATTGTCTTATAAATAGTACAGTGTTTATAGATGTATGTTGTAAATAATAATAAAAGTGAAGGTAAAAAGTCCTGTTGTGATGTGTTGTGCAATAAAATTTAAATAAACTAAATATTCGTTTCATTTCTCTCTTTACTTAAAATCATTAAAATGATTTTTTTAAAGAGTAACCTTAAGAATAATCACGATGGAAAATGTCACTTCAAAAGCTTATGGTATACTCCATACTTTTTGAAAATAGCTTGAGTTCTTTTTAATAAATTCCAATTTCTTTTGATTTTCACGTTTCACCAAGTGCTAAGCGACTCAACCATACTATAGGGTGAGTTATTTATACGAGGCAATATAATATCTTGATTGGATGTCATTAATCTGGCAAACGCATTAGACAAAAGTTGTGTTGGATAGATTTGCAAAATTTACGATATATTTTTATTACATCGCTATAAATCAATGAATGAAAGATGTAATTTAATCACTGGTTTATTAATACAAAAATAGAACTGTGTAAATGATTAAAAACACTGAACATAAATGTTACAAATATGTAATTTGATTTGCGACTATGGGACTACGACAAATGTGAACTCAACTTCTCTCTTCCCTTCGATCATCCTCTATTCCTCCCGCGCCCCGTCACGAGCGAGGCTACTGAGCCACCATACAGCACACCCTCTCTGATAGCTGACAGGGAATATATTTTTTTTTTGTGAAAAAAGAAGATACTTAGCATAAGTCTCCACCTTTGAAAGGCATGATTTCAACAAGAAAAGGAGAATAAAGTCTTCGACCAAAATGGGTGATTTCATTGAGTAGGGTGCAAAGATCAAATGCAGATTTCTTAAAACTGCCCTGCAATGTCTTTATGGTGAAAGCGCAGGTTATTCCATTTTCCCATGAGTAAATTGAAGAACAAGTTATAAATTCCACTTTGGGGAGGTAAATTGTTCTCCATAACGAGGACTAATACCCCTGGACAGACAAGCTCCTGAAATCCTTCCTTCCTTTTATTTCGTGTTTGCAATATTGCTATACACATGGATGACCTCATCATCCAGAAGAACTGCAATTATTTTTGCAGCGTTGATACTGACTGCTCTCATTGATTTCAAAGGTAGTTCACCAATCAAGTAGTGCGAAGGAGGTAGGGCGGGAGGGTCTTTAGGATAAGTGGATAGAGGATGTGTTGGTCAGGAGTATAACTCTATTCGAGTCAAAACGGTGGTGAATTCCTTAAAGCGTTTCAAATGCGCTTTGACCGATTATATTCCTGCCTCCCAAATGCCGTCACCTAGAAATTCGTTCCTGTGAACCTTGATCAATTTTGCTAGCACAGCTTTAACGCTCTCAAAGTTTATCGAGTTGTCAAATTACAAATTAGCGCTACAGCTTCTTCTAAAGATGAATTGACTTAACGACGAGAAATGCATTGGGTGAGAGATTTCCAACGAGTTCGGAATGTATCGCTCGTTAAACGATCCCGAATGAGAAATTGGCCGCAATAATCCAGGCTACAATTAGTAAATGACTTGACTGGATGAGTTTCAAAAGGGCGTGTACTTTTGAAAAGTTTGTCATTAATAACTTATTGACGCTATCGGAGTTTTGCCTGAATCATTGTTGACACCCTTTTCACTAAATTTTCTTCTTGAAATGATTCAAGACTTCTCTCGACGTTAAAACGGTTTGTAGTCAGCACATAACAATCGTTTATATTCATAATCTGCTAGTAAAAATTATTAAGAATGATTCGCGGATAAAGCGAACGGATGCCCTTTTTGAGAACTAAAGTTCGTTTATTTCAGTCGACCTCCGACAGGAATTAGACCTTCGTAGTCTAAATAAGGATTTAACGAAAGGTTATTACTGCCTATACTTACGGATTCGGAACTACCAAGATCTGAAACTTCTTTGGTAAAAAATTAACCTCACGCTGAACGAACTAAATATTTTTTAGATTTTATTAATTCGGCAGTAGTTAACGCACCAAATTTCCTGTTTTCCTTTTACGTTGTCCAATTGTTTTTGAATTTCAATAAATACACCGTGGTTAGCTGAAGCTTAATAAAACAGAAGAACTTATTTATAAATTCTAGATTAGGATGCTGATGTTGTCTTTTAATATTGACGACAATAAATAAACATGTATTCGACCAGAATTACCCACGCTTTTAATATATTATGCGCGAGTCCTATAAACCGCGTCAGAGAAAGTGTCAAGTTCTATTTTTATTGCCTCGGGATTTTGAGCTAATTTAATTGCGAAAATTCATTTTTACATGATAGTCGAAAGGAATTTAAATCCTAGGGTAGAGCATCATTTCAACCGATTAATAACCGTCATAAACGCTTCAAAATTTATTTTGTGCTAACGATACAAATGCCAATGAGACATTATGAGTCATTTTGAGTTGTCTCTGACAGTATTATACATTTTACCTGAAACCTTCTTTGTGCTAAGTTCGTAGCCAAGGGTATCGCTTTGTGGCGGCCAAATTAAGCCGAAATTAATTTACATAGTTTGAAGCACCAAAATATCTGCAATCAATCTCATTACTTCGGAAAAAGTTTTATTCACATGGCCCATGACGCTATGCTTAATGCAAAACTACCTATGCGGCACCCAAATTGAAAGCTATTTCTCACATACTGGGTGGGGGTTGATGCCGGGAAAGAAATTATATGAGGCATTCTTTACTTTTCTTGCTTTGGTATGCCATATACCAATATTGATTTCTGTATGATTATCGGTGTTTACACTATAATTTTTACGGAGCTAAAGGCGTCATAGATAGTACAGAACTTGACTCATGCGAAAAAACTTTGGCTTCGTTCCTAAAGATCGTGAACAACAAAGTTTTCGCTATACAAGACGATTTTGGTCACCAAAGAGTTTATTATTACCAACAAGAACTACATTAATAAATTGGTCACTATAATAGACACCAAATGAAAAGTTTTACCTGAAACGTTTCAACCGCTAGAGCATGTACATTCTTAAATACAAAAGAAAATAAAGATGAAATTACACATTTCGACTCCTACATGCAGCAAAATAATGAAACAATTAGGCTACTAATTGTAAAAATAAGTTAATGCTAATGCTATACGAAGCACTTTGAAATTTTATAGGGGTTAACATCAAATAATAATGTGAAAATTAATTTTCAATTTTTTACAAACTATAAATTATCTCAAGTTAATGAGGAATAATTTGTTGCTGTTGTCAAACCCTCGCCATGAACCGAACCCGAGACTCTTGACTTTACCCACTAAGCTAAGTGATCAGATCATTGGTGCGTAAAGCCAAAGGTCCCTGGTTTGATTCCCGGCGAGGATGTGACAACAGCAACAAATTTTTCCTCATTAACTTGAAATAATTTATAGTGGGTTAAAAACTGAAAATTAAATTTCACATTAATATTTCAATTAATGCTCTCTAACGTATAATCAATAGCCATGACAACATCAATTAGAGAGATGAGTAAACTAAACCACAGATACATATATTTTAAGTTTCGACAGATAGATATATGTAAATAAAAAAAAAAACGCACAAGCAATAGCAGTCTTTAAAATGATAAATGTGCTGTATCTGAAATTCACCACGAAGTAGTCAATAAAGAGTCAATAAAGAATACTTTCAGAAGGCTAATTAAAAACCTCGATAAAGTAGAGTATAACACTGATCCATTCGTAGAATCATCAATGGTGTTCACGAAAAGTTAATAGAAATGAATGGTGAAAACACCTGAAATATTTTAGTGTATGGGATGAAAAGCAATCTATGCTTTTTGATCTTCACAATAGAGTGGTTTCCACTTAATAAACTAATGGGCAAAGCGTTAATCGATCTTATTAGTGACGCACTCAGTGCTATTATCAGCCTCCAGAATCCCAAAAACTACCGGTTATATTAGAAAATATAAAAAGCATATTCAGTTTAAGAGTTTAACAACATTTATTTACCGGGATTCCATCCCAAGTTTGATTATTTGGTAAAGAAGATGTTGACTATCTAACTAAAACAACCACCAAATCCTCTATTGACGGTTCCATTCACCGCAAGAAAGAATTTCTGGATAGTTTTTATTTAATATAAAATACTTGCTTTAGTTGATAATTATTAATAAACTTGTTCTATTGTTTGTTGTACAGTTCCAAGGGGATCTGTGCATGACCCTCACATGCGACTTATCAACGACACACTTTTCAGCTTCTATTTGTAACCTGCGGAGACGACCAGTCGTGTAACGCTGTTTTGAACGCGTTCGTTCTCATCAGCACACCCGGCCGTTGACAGTTCCAACAGATTACCGACTAGCCTGCCTGCTGCCATTAAACGTTATTCATTGAACGCTGCTTAATATCAAGGAGCAGTTTGGTCGGTGATCTTTAGGAACTGTCTAAGGTAGATGAGAACTAAAGAATTCTGACCCATTACTTATAAAAGTTTCCACAGATTGCTGACCTGATCAAGAATTTTACGTTCTGATTCACGATCGTGCTGATCACTTCTGATGTTTTTGAAACTATTGTAAGCGTTATTTTTACGGATTAACTTCAACAAGCGATTGCTCCTAGCACAATCGATCATATACCTGCAACAAAAAGAAAAAAGTCTATGAGTTTGATCATATTTAATACAATCGTTGCAATTTTAACGTAAATAAGGGAATTCGTGTACAAATTAACAGACAAATTAAAGTCAAGTTGCTGATTCTTCTCACATATACAAGGTCCGTTTAAAAAGTATTACGAATTTTGAATTTCCGCGGGTTACGTAGTATATTCGATTTTCAATTTTTTTGCAGCATTATGTTGGTATTGGCTCGCCTTCGATTCTTGCCTATTCCAAAAAATGGATCAAAGGATCTGTATCAAATTTTTTGTGAAAAACAACATTAAGTGCGCGGACGCATTCCGAATGTTGATCGTGACATATGGTGAAGCCTAGTTTGGGCAGAAACAACGTTTATCGATGGTACAAAATGTAATCAGAGGG